ATGGAAAGAGTAACGAAGACAACAGCGGTGCACGGGTATCTAGCATACATGCTGCGTAGCTGTAAAACCCGAAAAATGGGCAGCAAAACGTAGTGTAAGACCTAGTGCAATAAGCAAGCATTCAGAAGCAAGGTGCTTACACTTTGTAAAAGAAAAAAGACCACAAAATGCCTGCCATAGTGCGGAGATAAGACGGTATCCGTAAGACAATTTACCGGAGTTTGCATTGCATTGTTTCATAACAAACTGAACCACACAGATAAACCAGCGTCACTAAAAAGATGGTCCAACAAGGAGGCTGCAACGAAGGTGCCAATGGTGCTCATTATGAACGTATCGAGTGATGTATGTGGATCTAAAGAACCAGTCTGGTAATCACCACTTCATACTCGTCTCTGCACCCCATTACTATGGACACGCCACAACAGAAGCTGAGCAGCATCGCCTGATGACAAGAAAGTACAGAGTGCGTTGTCACCGAAATACAGACGGTAAAACCTTAGCAGAATCAAGCCTGCCATCGATGACACTGGAGATTATAGATGAAATGTGAATGAAAGAGATGGGAATGAGTGTGAAACAATCTAAAAAGAACTAGGAGAGGTGTCCAAAAAAGCACGTTCTCCCTTATCCGTCCTGATGTATGTGGTAGGCAGATTGGTTGTGTAAAAAAGTACGCGACGACTGACGCAGAATGCGACTGAAGTGTGAGGTGGAAATCATGGGTAGATGTGATATGGGGAAGTGCCAGGCTGCCCAAACCTATGTAAGCGAGCGAGTTTGGTCCCTATTCAACACTCATGGTCCAAGAGCCAGACCGCCTTGGGCTTAGCATTTTGAACAGTAGTTTAACAAGCCAGTGGCACCGGCGAGTACTCACTCGGGAATCCAAGGTGTCTTGTGAGCATATGCTTCACCACCACCTGAGAATGAGGTTGCTCATGAGCTTCGCATCCTAACGTGTAACAAAACCCGTTGCTCGCTTAGACTATATCCAAAAACAAAGGTCCATTGATTGTTCGGGATTTACCTTCCCTGCTCCAAGAGATTTCACTCACTAAAGAAATCGAGTCTGACTGGAGCGTAGCAGATATCGAGCCCGTTCACAAAAAGGCTTCCCGAACAGACTGCACTCACCACAGGGTGATTAGTCTCTTCTGCGTCACATCTAAAGTGCCTGCCGCCTTGCTTTTAAGGAGGCTAGGGGCCTGACGCGCGAACAGAACATAAGCAAATAGCAAGCTGGGTTCCGTTCCGACCGGAGTTGCATCGAGCACATCTTTAAGCTCCGCCAAATACTCGAGCGTCGTCAAACGTTCGGCAAACCAACGATTCTTACCTTCTTAGACATAGGAGCGGCGTTTGATGCAGTTGACCGAGCTGCTCTCTGGAGTTATCTGTTGAGAAGGGAAGGACCCGAAAAGCATGGCAGCATTTTAGAACCATGTATTCTCTAACCTCAAGTCCAGTGGAGGTGTACGGCGGACTTTCGCAGCTCCTTTAGCATCACCAGCGGCGTGACACAGGGATGCCAAGCATCAATCCCATGATCAATTTCGCCATAGACGACATCCCGAACAGCGATCTGGCGCACTGCAAACACCGCGGCGTTAAACTGCTACCGGGGGGCCAACTTTGCGATTCGGAGAATGCAAACGACATCGTCGTAATTTGAGATTCCACCCAGACCGCCCAAAATGTGCTGGGTAAGTTAGACCGTGGTAATGAGAATGGTCCTTAACGTGATTCAACGATCTGCGTACCTCTTTGACCCTTTTGAGTTATGCTGGGTGATGACACCGTGCCCCTTGAAAGCTAGTCTTACCAGATTGGTCAATGGTTAGAGGTCAGACAAATTCAGTCCCCTGGTCCTCCAGGTTGGGAGTTTGAAATGGGATGGTGTCCATATATGCAAAACCAAGTAATCGCCACCGCCCCGCTGCTTTGCAGGCAGGCATTTGTGCCAAAGCTTTTGATTGAGAACAATAATCGTCTTCCTGTCTATGCTTGGGCCACCTGGCAGTATCTCAGCCTACGTACAGCCATGATTTTCTTCAAACTTCAACCATCTCATACATCGGCCGTCGCGCAGATTTTCAAGGGTAGCCTTATCTGATGCATACAGCAGGGCGGATGAGTGACAATATGCTACTGCTGGCGCCTCCCTTCTTTCCTTTCCACATGTTTCTCTTACTCCCCTACCGACCCCCACTAGTAACCCTCCTCCCATACACAGTTCCTAGCTTAATTGACATCAACAGCAATGACACTGCAGTTCTACTATCCGCAGCTATCTTCACCAACCACCCACTGGAAGCTCATCAGTAGCAGCCCCTAATATGGCCACGCTGTACCGTTTCTCTGGCGGCGTTCAACGTTCGAACTCACATATAGGTGGTCAACAGGCTGCAGTCGCACACACATAAGACACACTGGGTATTGATGTGTGCTGCGTGTCTGAAACTAGATTTAATGGAACGCACCGGGTTTGTGAAGTAACAGCGCCTGGTTCGTCCTGTCGCTATTGGTTGCACACATCCGAAGACGCCGATGCAGCAATCACTGGTCAAGTTGAGGTGGGGATCGTTCTCAGCTCCAAGACTGGGTTATCGCTGGTTGATTGGATTCCAGTGAACAGCCGTTTGTGTGTAGCCCGTTAGACGATATCAAGTAAGGTTGATTCAAGAAGTAGTATTAGATCACATCTCTTTGTGGTTTCCGCTTATGCCCCCATAGACTGCAGTTCCCATGCTGTCGAGAAAACCACCTACCACGAACTGGACACGCTGCTTCTCAGTGTTACCAGTTCAGATATCCCAGTTCTCGCAGGGGATTTGGATGCGCAAGTAGGTTATCTGAGCTTCTCAGAAGCTCAGCTGGGTGGTAAGCATGGACTTAACTCCGACCGTACAGGCAACGGCGAGCGTCTGCTACGGCTGTGTGCGGAGCCGTGGCTGTTTTGTAACACCCCGTTTTTAAACATAATGGGCGCCGATATGCCACTTGGCATCCACTTATAGCTGGCCAACGATAGACCCAAAATGATCACGCTGCCGTAAGTTAGAGGTGGTGTGGTTCCATCCTGGATTGTCATTCGTTCTGAAATACTTGCATCGACCCTGATCATGCGCTTTGGCACACTGTCATTTTCCATGAACTTTATCGGGAGACGTATCAAGCGCCCCCCCCCCCCGATTGGCGAGTTATCTCAGTCCCCGGGAAGGCACGCTTACCAGGATACCCTGTGTACCGAACTTTTGCTCTCTCATCTTAATGACATTGGGCTAAAGTAGAATAGGATCTACGCCGCCATGCACGATGCGAAACCATCTGCTTGCGGCACTATAAATCGTCACCGCACCAGTCCCTGAAGATCCGGGAGGTCAGTGGACCTGTTGGAACCTAGAAGAAAATTACCCGCTGACTCAGAGCATAATATGACCAGATAAACTAATAGGAGCGAAGTAAAACGGAGTCTACGTTCTGACAAGGAAGTTTCGTGGATCAGTAAAGCCCAGGAAACGGAGGAGGCAGGAGCAGTAGGGAATTATCGCAAGCTCTTCCAGATGATCCGCATCATTGGTGTCAGGAAACCTGGCGTCAGTGAGACAAACAGACACAGCTCGGATGCACTGATTCACAAAAAAGAGCGTCGTATGGCTCGGTGGCCGGAGAACTTTCGAGACCAGTTCGGTTAGCCCTCTGCTTCCCGACCCCTTCCTACTCAGTCGTGCAGGCTGAGCTACCGCTGATTAGTTTAAAGTCCGCATCGGACGCTGAGGTCCAAAAGGCGATCACAACTCTTAATCGATTTCGAGCTGGTGGCCGGATTCCCTCGCACCCGCACTATCTAAGGATGGTGGTGTGATT